CTGCAGGAAGGGCGTGCAAACATTGTACTAATGGTGTTGTTTCTCTAGTGGCTTAAACAGATGATAGAGAAAACTAAAAGGTTTTTTTTTTTTGCCTCCATTCTTGACATTGTTCACTAGGTTTTTCTTAAAGCGCTTGAGGGAAAAAAGATGTGAAAAAAAAAAGAAATAGAACAGGCTGCATGCACCAAATAACATTGTATGTAGTCCCATTTATCAAGTGTAGAACAGCACTGAGGTAAATATTGAAGCAAAAGCAGACTGTCTTACCAATTGTCACAAGAATAGTGTTCTCTCATTACGGATTTTAATGAGGTGATTTCAGGCCAGTTTGGCAGAGATGTACTACAGAAACAGATTGGTAGAACAGTGTGGCTAGAAAATCTTCTTACAAATTGGGAAAGAATGTAAAACAAAGTGGAAATAAAGGATATTCTTTTATTTTAAGGGTGCAAAAATAATTTCTGATTAATTTTGCTAAAATCTAGGCTGCTGAACTCTGAAAGGCTGAGTGCTCCTCGTTGTGTCAAAATAAATGCCTGAACAGAGAAGGAGGCAGAACAGGCTCATGAGCACCCAGTCTGCTTGCTAGCCTCTGCTGCTTTATTTCAGGCATTGCTTTGCAAAAAGAAAGAAATCTAGCCCCCCCACCCCCCCACCCTTTACCTCACTGACTCTGCTACTGCTCACCGGGAGCCCCCAGCCAGCTCTGCATGTGAGGTCTGCCTGCCCCTGCTCTAACCCTGAGATCCCACTGTCCTTTCCCTGCTCAGGAAACCAAGGTGTCCAGGAGGGCTGGGGGACAGGGGGGCAAAATGGCACGATAGTGCTCCAGCTCCAGCCCCGTGCCGTCACCTCAGCTGTCAGGGAATGGTGTCTCTCCTAGATGAAGGGGAATGAAACCATCTCCCGAGCACCCAGCCGGGCTGCCTGGTGCTGTGAGCTCAGCTCTGCACATGTCCTTCCAACAGGAGCCAGCACTGGGGCCCAGCTTGGCCTCCACTGGGCCTGTGTCCCTGCCCACCAGCACCCATGCCAGGGAGAGACTTGCAGGCAGAAGAGCACGAGCTCCTCAGTGAGGCAGGAGTCTCCACCACGATGTGTGTGAGTTGAAGTGAGAGATGCGGTTCGCTTGGGCCTGGAAGGGAAAAAAAAATACTTAAATTGTAGCATTTTTCTAATGGATCCTAAAGTGTATAATCAGCAGAAACCTTAGCAAACTCCTCAGAGAATCAAGGGACCATGAAGAAACATCTCATCTAAGGAAAAGACATGAATGTTTGCTTTTTTGATGGTTTTCTTAAAAAAAAAAACTGATTTTTTGATGCATTAAGCTAATCAGTTTGAAAACTATTATTTAACTATTATGACCTCCAACAAAGGCTGATCCAGCTGGTGACCAAGAGCACAGATCAACCCTCCCTTATCAGCTTTCTCAGAAGAGGCTGGAGAACAGTTCTTCAGGCAAGGAGCAGCAAGGTAGAAACTAAACGTTCCCGCAGTGAAATGGGGTTTCCTTTATGGCCTAAAACACAGCCAGGTGTATGCTGGAGGAGGGAAAAATGGGCCAGGAGCTGGAACTTCAAACCCGTGACAAAGGGGATGTCCAAAAGCATCAGCATCCTTCTTTTCCCCAGAGCTGAGAACGGGAACCACCTTCTTGTCAAGAATTACCTGACATTATGGTAATTATCCCATCTTGGGTTACAGAAATGAGAGAACATGGAAACAATCTGACATGGCTATTTACACATGTATTAAAAAAAGCTCCCTACAAGCCAGCTGTGGAACAAATTTTCCTCTGAAATGGGTAAGTGGGAAACTAGAAGACCTGCACTTCATTTGGCACAGTACCTGTGGCAAAGGGGCAATAGGCAGCTGAATGTAGTAACATGTTCCAACAACACTACTGTATCTGCTAAGACAAGATGACCATCTCCCTGCACATCTGTGCCGGCACCTGGTAGTACATTTTAGTACACTGCTCTCTACATTAGTGTGTGGAGGCACCCCTAGTAGTCTTAAAAACAGTCTGGTCCTGGGCAGCCCACGCTCACCAAGTTGTGCCCAGGCTAATTTATCCTACTGAGAAGCCTAGTGAGTTATCTCAAAGAGAAACCTGTGCTGAACACAGACTACTTCTACTTCCGTAGTATCTCAATTGCACTTGCTCATCTCGCTGTTTAATGACATCCTCATTTGGGATTTTTTGACAGCTGCTTAGAGACTTTTGTGCTCTAATATGCTTACTGGTCTTTTTCCTTGGGTATTATAAATGAACTAGAAACCGTTTTGCTATGGCAAACTGTTTTCTTCATCAACAAAATTCACTTGATTTCTTTGCCAGGAAGAGATTTATTCCAGTCAGGCTCTTTATAGAAATTACATAATTATTTTCATACAGAACATATATGATTCTGTTTTGATAATTCTTTGGAGACACAAACAAAAATATACTCCAGTTGTAGTGGCTTCATTATGGATTTGTTACAAATCAAAGATCATAAATGGTCATCACGCATCCAGTTTTACGTATCAAGTAGACTGTGGATTTTCCATAAACAGACGAAAACTCTCCTTGAAGCAGGAGGCAAGTACAGCATTCCTGGGGACATTCGTTTGAGCAACATAGTAATTAGCACCACAGATAAGAGTACTGTTTGTCCATAATCTGGCCCATGGGTGCTGCAATGTGTGAGGCTTCCAGTCTGATGGCAAAGGTTTGGGTAGCATCTGTTCTTAAATCGTTCCATGGGCAAGGTCACAGTGATCTTTTTGACTTGCACTTAAGGTGTGTTAGTTTCAAGGAGCATTACTGTCTCCGAAATTGGGAGGGGAGGGGTGTGACTCTTAACTGGTGCTTTGTAGCCTAAAGAGGAAAATTTATATGCCTGCTGCCTTTTGAAATAAGACATTAGAAAAATATTTAAAATGAAAGTTTGTCACCACAAGGTGATCACAGCATTACTCTCACAGCAGTTGCTGATGCATTATCTTCCACATCATCTTCCTGCAGAAGTAAACCTTGTGATTCTAAAAAGTAAAAGATGCCATTACATACGAAGTCACAATAGAGAGGCAGAAATAGACTTCCTGTTGCTAATTTCTTCATGTGACAAAGTTCACTTTAAAAGCAGCCAATGCCTGTCACTTTGGGTGCTGCATGGCTTTACCCACTCCCCTCCTAAAAGGATGCAAGACACAACAACCCACCAAAACCACACTTACTTCATTTACCCACAGCTTACAAGCCCTTTAATAAAAGCTCACTGCATCTGAAAACAACTAGGGCTTTAACGGATCAAAGGGTTAAACACATTTTTCCCCAAAAGACAGAAAGGCCAGATACATTACAAATGCATTAGGCTGTACTACCTTGCCCAAGAGGAATTTTATAGATTCTTTTAGGAAGCAGATACCAGAAATGAAGACAGACAAAACAGCTCTACCCTGCAGAGGCTTTTTTGAAGTGCCAGCCCTTGTACTACACACCAAAGATGTAGTGTGCTAAAAAAACCCAGCCCCTGTCCCAGAGGCTCCACCGTTAACAGCTACGTACTTTCCCCAGTTCTTTTATTTGGACAAGACATCTGCAGATGTTCGTGAGCTTAACTCACCTGTGAGAGTGTTAGGCTTGTCTCCCGAGACATAAGCTGGGTGCTTGCACAGCTAAAAACCCATAGTCACTTCCATTCAGTTGTTGTGGAATTTCCTAAGGAATAGAAAAAAGAGGGAGAATTTCCCTCTATCTTAAAAGAAAGGCAGCTCAAAAATGGCATACAGCATCCAAACTAAACCATACAGTCCCCAGACAGTAGTGAACCTACTTATAGAACGCATTTGTCACTCCTGGTCTACACCCAAGTATCCACACAGTACTTGCACTCTGCATAAGAGGCCCAGATTCAGAACTGATCTTAGGAGCTTATGTTCTTAGACAACAACCAGACACTCACACGTCACTTGTGGAATTGGAGCAAAGCCAGATGCACCTTAGTGTGGCAAGGACATGTTTTCGTTCTGTTTTTTAAATCTAGAATTTAAAAATCTATGTTTTCTGTTCTCTGTTTTTTAAATGTAGGTTTATATAGAAAGAAAGTATTCAGTCACTCAAGGAGAGTTTAACATTGCAGCCTAGCAGGGGTTTCCTGGCCCACCTGCACTATGCAGAGGTACATTTAGAACATGATAAGATGCTTATGAGCTTCCTCTAAAGGTTTAGGCTCATTAGTACATGTTAAGGCTGTTATGATGGCTAATTGTGGTTCACTTTTCAAATCCAAGTAGTGCTCACATGCACGTGACGCTCTGCTGTGAAGAACCCACTCTGAATCAGCCAGCTCGATTTCTTTTTGTCTTTCTTCTTGCAGGTATGGCCGTTCAAAAGAAAGAAAAAAACCCCCAAACACCTCTACATTTTAGGCTAACAAAAAAGCTGCAGAAGGACCAAGGACACTGAATGACTGGGTAGTAAGATGCCATGGGATATTCACTGCAGGTGAAGTAAGGCATTTGGGGGGTAAAAACCAAAGTATTAAGTTCACATACCCAGTTAATGGCCTTTGGTCAGTAATGAGACCGAACAATTCCAAGAGATGTCCGTGGAAGCTTAAGCTTCTTCCTCAGCAGAGGTGAAAACAAGGAAAGCAAATGTTATTAGAGAAGAAACAGAAAAAGCAAGCAAACAGCCTCATTTTGCCCTTGCATAAAATCATGGTGGGCCTTCAGCCCACATACTAGGTGCACTTCTAGAAGAGCAAATATGTCAAAGGCCTCTGGCTGAGGAAGTCCTCATGCCACAGGTTGCTGAAAGAATACTCTCTGGAAAAAAAAATCATTGTATACAGCCTTGTTCTCACACTTCTTCCCAGGCATCTGCTGTTAACTGCTGTCCAAGAGAGTAATGGGCTGAAACAACATCAGGTTGGGCCCAGTGGGTCCTCTGCTTTTCGTCTATAGAGCTGTTGGGCTGTTGGACTGATCATCTTCACTACTTCTGTACCAGTGGCAAAGACACCTATGGATGCTGTCTTAGACAGCAGTTACAATGCTAAAAACATCAGTCTATGCACACTGAAGAGCTGTGCCCATTATATTTGAAATTTATGTTATGCCAGATGATGCACCTGGAAAAGTTTGCTGACACTAATGACCTGCAATAATTTGAAAGCTCTTGAAGAGTGGGATGTTGTGGTGAGGTAAAAAGCTCTTGGAAGAATGCAATCCCTTCCATGGATATCACGCTTCCTCTTACAGTCAGCTTGGTATTTTGAAACAATTCCATTACATTTTTTCCTCTACTCAAAGCCCAGTTTTATTCATTGCTACCAAAGTTTGTACCTTGTGCAAGAGGGCTACAACATATTTGACAGCTTGACAATGAAGCTTTGGCAGGGAATATACTGGGAAGCTGAGCGCATGCAGATACCCAAGAGCTTGCAACGGAGGGTACAATGTGTGGCTATGTAACTAACTAATATCGCAATTCACCTGCAACTTGCAGAAAGTGAATCAGAAATACTTCTGTTTTGTATCTAAGAGAAAAGCATCTCCCTCCCCTCAGGGCTCTAGTGACACTGGGAGAGCTGCCAAGGGCACCCTAGTTTGCTGCTAGCAGCTCTGGGGCCTTCCCCACTCACCTAGCTGCGTCAGGGAGGCAACACCTAGTGGTGCGAGAAGGGGAGCTGGGAAAGAGCCCCAGAAAGGAATTGTCTGACCCATGTGTGCAGGAAGGAAAAGCCTTGATGGGCGTGGAGCATGACATGCGGACCTGCTGCTGTGCACGTCTCCCTGCTCTTGAGCCTCCCCAAGAGAATGTGGGAGCTGGGCCTAGGTCCTGCAGGAGATCTGTGTCACCAGGGTCCCTGGGATGGCTGGGAAAAAGGGGATGTATTTAGTACAGGTGACAATCGTGTGTGCCCATGGAAGGGCAGGTTGAAAGGAGAGGTCTGTTTGCACAGCAAAATGCTGCTGTTTCGGTTTGGTTTTGTTCTGTCCTGAGAGCAGCCTGGAGCCAGGGCTAGGCATGGGGCTGTGTGCCTGAGGAAGGACTGCAGAATGGGAGAAATGAAGCTCTGTTTTATTTTCTTTCTAGCGTGTCCTGTACTGCAGAATCATGAGCAGATAGTGAGACGGCCTGGAGCTGTACCAGCCCCACCTCACCCCCAAAGACCTGATGGATGGGGAAGAGCAGCCTCCTCTCCAGTACCACTGCCCAGGGAAGAAGCTTTCCTAGCCCCTCCTGGCTGATGTGTACAGCAGGAGCAAGGAGGTGGGTAAAATACCAGACGCAGAGCAGCTATGGAGTCCTCTGCATAGTTCTCAGCATTCCTCACATTCCTTGGGTTGCTGTTCTGCACCCCCAGAGCCCTCTATGTGCCATTCGCAGCAGCCCCGGAATCTCCATGTGCCTTTCCAGGGCTCCCCAAGGCCCTCAGTGGGTCCTTCATTTCTCCTTAGGATCCTCTGCGGGCCTCTGGGCCCTCTCGTGCCCTTGGGTGTGCCCCAGGGCTCTCCATGGGCCTTTTCCGTGGCTTCTGGGGCTCATGATGTGCCTTTTGGTGCGCTCCATGGGACCACCCATTCTTTTGTCGCTCAGGGATCTTTATGTGCCTTTTGATGCTATCAAAGGCCCTCTGTTTGCCTTGTTTGAAAGTCCTAGTGGCCTTGTGTGCTTTTTGTTGCCCCCCAGGGCCTTTCATTTGCCTTTCAGTGCACTCCTGAGCCCTCTGTTCACCTTTTGTTTGTCAGCTTTTCCACATTGTAGAGGAAGGAGGGATTTTATTTCCAGCTATGCTTTGGAAGGGCCAGGCCAACCCGATTTGTACAATGATTCACTTAATCTAGTAAGTCCTACCAGCCTCATTTTGTCTCATGTATGGTGATCCTGCTAACTTGCTTGGCTGGCTGACCAGCAAGAAGAAATTACTTTGCTGATGGGGGTCTGTCCTTAGGTGACCAGTTAACCATAACTCTTCTGAATTTAAAATCAGACATTTAAGTTTCCCAATCAGCCATGTAAGTTTATACCTGCTTTTTAAAGCCTGATTATTGATTCTGTGATAACTGAAGTGCAACTGTTGGCTATAATGCTGACATCTGATTGCTGTATGTTTGCACCAATTTTTCTTTCTCCTTATTCTTCCTAAAAGTCCACACGACAAAGCAGTGCTGTTTTATCATGACAACCAAGAGCTGTTATCCTGGCTCCTATGTCTTCTGGGCTTTAATTTTGCCAGCATTTTGCTTTTTTATTTTTGTACGGGAAGACTGCTGTTGTGGTGCAGTTGCATTTTAGTCTTCTTGAGATTGCTGGAGAGCACATAGGGCACTAGGTGGCAGCAGAGCTGTTCATGCTGAGGTTGTACATTCATGCACAAGCTTCTGTTTGTCAGTTGTTTGTTCTTACAGAGGTTGGGAAATCCTGGGACTTGTGTATGTCCTGGAACTTACACATATCTCAAAATATCATACTGAACACATTTATGGCCTAATGGGAAGAGAGAATGGGAAAACCTAAAGAAGCCTCTCTTCCACTGTAGTTTCTCCTTAAAATTGTGAATTGCTGCTATTGAAAGAGGTTGCCAGCAGAAAAATAAAAGTGCATACCTTAAAAGAGAGAGCACCAGAGAGAGGGTCCACAGAGCAACTTGGTGACTCAGAGCACTTCCTCTGCTTGCTCAGTGAGTCTTTGGGCTTCATGATGTGTGCACAGTAAAACTAGCTAAAATCTGAAATAATAAAAATCCTCTAGATAAACTCTCCTATTTTGCACATCTTTATATCTCAAATGTATTAAGGATTTTTCTCAATTAAAATATTCATAATAGAAACTCAATACAGCAGTGCTATACTGACAAGTGATTTATCTTGAGCTGTCTTTGCTGAAAGCGAGGGTGGTGTTTGCTTTGAAAATAGAAGTTGAATGAAGAACATCAGATAAAAATAGAAGCAAGCTGATCCTAGTGCTAATGTAACAGATAAAGCATTTGGTGTTTTTAATCATTTAGACTCTTGTATACAATTTCCTGTTTCTCCTCAGTGTCTGAGTAAGGAAGAAGTAAAATCAATAAATGTTACTTTGAGACTCATAGAATACAGATCAGTGACCTCTAGAGGTCACCTGTGCTGTCACCCCGCCCAACAGCAGAACTAGGCAGACCAAATCGATCTGCTTCAGGGGTTGCCTATCCTATTCTCGAAAACCTCCAGGAATGGAGATTCCAGTTTTCCTCTGGGCAATCCGTTGCAGTGCTTTACAGCTTTACTATTAGGCTAGATGTTAAGGAAAACTATGCAACTCTTGTGCAATTTAAACCCATGACTGGCTGCCTTCATCCCTGTGGTCATAGCTGATGTACTCCATGTTTAATTTTGCCAGCATTTTGCTTTTTTATGTTTGTACGGGAAGACTGCTGTTGCGGTCCGGTTGCATTTTAGTCTTCTTGAGATTGCAGGTCACTCCCTGTTTTCTGTTGCTTGCTTGCATATATGAAAAGAGGTATAGGGTCTTTTCTTGCTGGGTGCAAGTTGTCAGAAGTATCCCCCTTTTCGTGCAAGGTGCTCTTTTGAATTCAGCTCGGTAGTTATTTTGCGGAACTGGCTTTACTCTTGTACCTGCTCAGCAAATTCTGTTTCCACCACATTCTTGTTACAAGGCTAGAGAGCAAGTTGATTCCCTCCCCTTCCCACTCCCTTTATTTACTGCCTTTGAGGAAACTTACAACCCCATTACTTTGCAGAGCTACAGAATGCTAATTTGTATGGAGAAGCAAGTAACAGGTGGAAGTGTGGTCTTATTCTTACATTTTTTAAGTGTATTCAAGGCTACACTTGCTGAACAGGGATTTGCTTGCTGAACCTTTCTTTACTGCAAGGTTGCTCCTTTCTGTGTCTATGGATTGAGTAGTAGGGGTTATGTTGTGAGAGAGTGTTGGTTCAGCTGTCCAGATGTTATCAATCAGCTGTACTCCTTTTTGGAGAATTGAAAATCCTGAAGGAGCACTGATAACTGATTAAGTAGAAATTTTCTTCTGCTGAGGAAGTCTTTTATGAGAAGCAGTAAAGAAGAAGGGTGCGGGGAGGAGGACTAGGGGATGAGTGTCACAGCACTATTTTAAATATAAGAATTTTAATTTGTCTCTCTTGGGAATACTGTCTTGAATCAAAATTCCAAGATTAAAGGCATGTCTCCACAAAATACAACACTACAATTAATTGGCACCTGCTGCACAGCACAAGTCCCCATTTATGGTCTTCTGTTTCTTCTCCCTAACACACATGTTCCCCAAATAGCAAAACCTGTCCGATTCTGTTCCATGCCCCTGGAATGACAAATGCTTTGACTTCTCTGTTTTCTCACCCTTTGACCTGCCAGAGCTATTCCACATTTCCCTACTTGTAATCTGAATCTCTGAGGTTCAGTTTAGTCTTTCTATTTAAACGACAAAACATCTGTAATCAACAATCTGAACTGAAATGCTGAACAGGACATGTGTCGTGGTAAAACTGTCCCGCTCTTCAGAACACTAATGAGATAATACATGTTTAATTTATTTCTCAGGTTGCAGACAGATTTCTCTCCCAGGTACAAGCATAACTTGCAAAAGGCAAATAGGAGATTTTTGTTCCATAACAAGCTCAGCAAAATATATCTGATACTGTAAGTTCCCAGTAGTTTTTGTACAGTTAAATGCATAGCATCATAGCATAGCAGTTCAAAGCATAGATTTCTGTTTCTTTCTGAGAATGTGTACAAACACAGTGATGGTTGTCTGTGTATCTGAACTTCTTACAAGGTTTAATAGCAATTGCTTTAAGATGTTCTTTTCTACTTATATACTCTGTCTTTGTACAAATGACTTAATTATAGCAGGTTTTGACATCTCTATTGATTGAATTACATCTAAGGAGGTAGAAGAATGCTAAATTTGTCAGACAACTTTTGAAAGCTTGTGATAGCACCAATATAAAATAACAGAGGGCTGCTCTTGCTTCCTTGAATAGCTCTGTCATGGGCTATGACATGAGCGATAGTCTGCTTTTTTGTCTCTCTTACTTTCAGATAAATCTTTTTGGATTTCAGAAAAGGTTCTCAAAGATTTCTTTGTAGGAGATGAGTCCACTGGGACATGACGGGGAGTTGCAGGTTGTGGTGACATCTTGGTGTACTCACAGCACGTGGTTTGGTAACTGTCACTCTGCAAGGTTCTTCAGTGTGAGCAGTCATCTTGCAGTTGGTGGTAATACTCACACGCACATAGCTTGAAACATGCTTAGGTAGCATATCAAGGCCTGCAGCTGGTCTCCTATGATCCAGCCAAAGTAACCCATTTTTTTTAGCTTTCCTTAGGCAGGACTAGTTTGAGGTTGGAGTACTACAGATAATCCAAAGAGATATCACAGAATCACAGAATCGTTTAGGTTGGAAGGGACCTCTGGAGATCATCTCGTCCAACCTCCCTGCTCAAGCAGGGTCACCTAGAGCATATTGCCCAGGATCACATCCAGACGGGTTTTGAATATCTCCAGGGAAGGAGACTCCACCACCTCTCTGGGCAACCTGTTCCAATGCTCTGTCACCCTCACAGTGAAGAAGTTTTTTCTCAGGTTCAGATGGAACTTCCTGTGGTTCAGTTTCTGCCCGTTGCCTCTTGTCCTGTTGCTGGGCACCACGGAGAAGAGACTGGCCTCATCGTCTTGACACCCCCCCTTCAGATACTTGTACACATTGATGAGATCGCCTCTCAATCTTCTCTTCTCCAGGCTGAGCAGGCCCAGCTCTTGCAGTCTTTCTCCAGAGGAGAGATGCTCCAGTCCCCTAATCATCTTCGAAGCCCACTGCTGGGCTCTCTCCAGGAGTGCTATGCCTCTCTTGTCCTGTCCTGGGGAGCCCAGAACTGCACACAGTACTCCAGGGGAGGCCTCAGCAGGGCTGAGGAGAGGGGCAGGATCACCTCCCTCCACCTGCTGGCAACACTCTGCCTAATGCACCCCAGGATACCATTGGCCTTCTTGGCCACAAGGGCACACTGCTGGCTCATGTTTAACTTGTTGTCCACCAGCACTCCCAGCTCCTTCTCGGCAGAGCTACTTTCCAACAGGTCAGTCCCCAATATCATCGAGCATTAGTACTGATCATTCTCTGTTTTGCTTTCAGTGGAGAGCTGAGGGTTGAAAAGGGCCTGATGCCAATCTTTCTCTTTATTCTTTTAGTCAGCTTCTTATTGATCACCAGGGTTTGGGCATGATAATGTACAGTGGTCTCCATAT